TGGGGGGGGTGGGGGGGGCAGGGGGTCCCCTAAGCCCAGCCTGTGCCCTCTTGCTCCCCAGGGGATCGGGTCTAAGTTGGTAGTCAGACATCCCTCTGGCAGCCCGGGAGCCATCAGGGGATGTCCACTTGCCAGTGGGGAGCAGGCCTAAGCTGCAGTCGGACATCCTTAGCGCTGCTGAGGAGGTGGGAGAGGCTCCTGCCACCACCACTGTGCTGGCAGCCGTCAGCCTGGCTTGTGGCTGAGCAGAGCTCCCCCTGTGGGAGCGCACTGACCCCCAGGGGGCAGCTCCTGCATTGAGCATCTGCCCCCTGGTGGTTAGTGTGTGTCATAGTGACCAGTCATTCCCAGTGGTTCTGCTGTTAGGGTCAATTTGCATATTACCTTTTTATTATATAGGATTGACTTTATATCCACTCCTTTTTCATACTTTGCCTAGCTCTAAGCAATAACATCCATTAAATCACAAGTTTGATATGCTGGTAATACTCATTGAAATAATTACATAACTGTTAAAACATGTCTATGGACATACTACCTAAACTCATCTCATGTGGTACCAGTGATATTCTTACCACACTTCGAGTGACTTGATCCTGAACTGTCAATTTATGATATGAGTAAATAATAAAATAATCTCTCCAGAAAAAAAAAAAAGAAGTGACTGTCTACGGTAGACTCACAGGTACCAGCCTAGAACAGCGGTCACCAACCTTTTGGACCTCACGGACCACCAGTGGTTGTGGACTACTGGTTGGCAACCACTGGCCTAGAGGACTTCTTCAAATGCTCCTCTCTAAAACCAAATGTAGACTGAGTGAAAGACATTCTGCTTCTCTAACTCTCCAGGCAAGATCACTCCAAGGCTCCAAATCCTTTCAAAACCTATGTTGAGTCTCTTCTGTTACTTTCTCTTAACTCTATGTATGGCTTCCAGCATAGCAGATATGGAAAGAAAACCAGTATGTGGCTTCCTCCTTATACCTAACCCTGTACAAAGACTCTCTAAACTAAAACCCCTACATCTTAGGCTGAAAGGGCAAGTGTGAGCCAAAAAAAGTTGTCTAGCCCGGCCGGGGTGGGTCAGTGGTTGAGCATTGACCTATGAACGAACCAGGAGGTCACGGTTCAATTCCTGGTCAGGGCAAGTGCCCAAGTTGTGGGTTCTACCCCCAGTAGGGAGCATGCAAGAAGCAGCCAATCTATGATTCTCTCTCATCATTGATGTTTCTGTCTGTCTTCCTCTCTGAAATCAATAAAAATATATTTTCCAAAAATATATAAATATATAATTTTTAAAAACTGTCTAAAGAGCCAAATGACAGGATGGATAAGTGAGAATTAATATGTGAAGTCTAAAAGGAAATTTTCATTATTGTTTAAATGAATAAAATGATTAATAGAAGGTGTTAATATACTGTTACTATCTAGCCCTTCACACTTTGGCACCCTCCCAACAACCCAAATATTTCTAAAAACTACCTAAAAAACAATGACCTTTATGTAGATCTGTTTACATGACCAGATCAGTACCATATGTGCACACTGAGGACAAGGAGTAAAGCACTTATTAGCAAGAACAAAATGGGCTACTGTTCTTTTCATCAGAGAAGGAAGGCAGCACCTTCTTTTTTGCTTCATTCATTTCTGAGCAGAGAGCTGATGGATATGATCCTGACTAGAGCTCAAAGAACTTCCATCCACTTTCCCTCCCAGTAGAAAGTAGAAATTAAAAGCTTCCTGCCCTTCTTCTGCCCTTGTTCATAAAGCTAGAATGGAGTCCAGAGTCTAAATAATGGTTTTAGGATTGGAAAGAAGTTGGAATGTAGCTCTTCTGAATATTGGGCTAAGTACTTTTTCACTGAAACCATGTGGAAACACTGGGGATACTGCCCGAGATAATAATGGTTTCTTGATTTATCTGTGGAATCCCCTGAAAATTCAAAAGTCAATTTCTTAAGCAATCACAGCAACTTGACATTCCTTACCAGATGGTCCAAATAAAAGAATCACCGGTTGGTAAAATTCAATGGTATTTTCATTGTCAGAAAGCCAAGAGAAAGATTTAAAATGAGAACATTTTATAGACAAAGCATTTGATCTCTTAGGTTGAAGAATCAAAAGGCAGAAATTAAAGTGATGCCAGCACTACAAATGTATAAAAACAAATTATAAAACATCAAAAACTTAGAATTTGTTGTTGGATTTCACAAAAGCTGCAGAAGACAGCATGCAAACAGCAGCTCTGCACATGCCAAGCGAATCTTCGGTATGTCCCTGCCTGGGGTCATCGCACTATAGCCCTGCTTCACGTTCTTCCACCGTCTGCAGCATATGGAAGTCGTTTTTGTGGCACATGTTTCTCAGAAATGAACACACCAACTGTTTTTGGTTTTCTGAGGCCCAGGGTAATTTATTAAAATAAAAGCAGTAAGGCCCTGGCGGGAGTGGCTCAGTGGTTGAGCATTGACCTGTGAACCAGGAGGTCAATTCAATTCCCTGTCAGGGCACATGCCCAGGTTTCGGGCTCAATAACCCAGTAGGGGGCGAGTGGGAGGCAACCGATCAATGATTCTCTCTCATTATTGATGTTTCTATCTCTCTCTCCCTCTCCCTTCCTCTATGAAAACAATAAAAATATTTAAAAACAAACAAAACCAAAAATGAATAAACTACTCTAAATCCCACAATCACTCAAAATTCCACATATTTTATCACATGATGAGTTGATCATTTTTCTTCCAGTCCTAACAGAAAGCAGACTTGCAATTCTAGGTAATATGAAATGTTTAAATCTAGCATTAGTCTGATTCATGTTAGCAAATATAACTCAGGATAACACTTGGGAATTCTATGAAGCTCCTCATTTTGTTTTAGCAGAATCCCCAACAGGAACATGTGTGTATATGATAACTAATAAGTTCCAGTGCTTTATCATAATACCGAATTCTGACCCAACAATCTTCCTAATAACCCAGGTATTCCAAAGAAACTGGGTTAGGATATGGCAAGACAGCTCATTTTGTTACTATACCATTCCCAAAGAGAGTAACACATCAGTACTTTTCCCCCCCCTTATTGGTACACTTAACACATGATATCTATGGATAACTGGGAAAATCTAGGAATTAGTCACAGAATTAATTTTCTTCTCTCACAAAGAAACACTGTGGGCCTCTTCAGGTATAGTACTATACATCTATATAGATTCAGTATGGTGGACAGAATTACGATCCTACCCCAAGATGTTCACATGCCAATCCCCAGAACCCATAAATATGTTACTTAATATGGCAAAAGGGACTATCTGCAGATGTGATAAAGTTAAGGATCTTAGATGGGAGATTACCATAGATTATCTGGATGGGCCCAATGTCACTACATTGGAACTTGAAAGCAAAGAAGCTGTGATCAAAGAGGGGATTATGACCATGGAAGAAAGTCAGAGATGCAATGTTACTACTAACTTTGAAGATGGAAGAAGGGGTCACAAGCCAAGAAATGTGGGTGGCTCTAACAGCTGGAAAAGAAAACAGGGTCTCCCCTAGAGCCCCAGAAAGGAACATAGCCCAGCTGACACCTGGATTTTAGCCCAGTGGAAACCACATCAAGCTTCTAACGTACAGAACTGTAAAATAATAGATCTAGGCTGTTTTAAACCACTAAATTTGTGGTAATTTGTTATAGTAGCAATAGAAAATTAATAGAGTCACGTATTCTTATGGCTCTATACACCAGAATTTCAGGATCCAAATTATATTTTTAACTACTATTTATTATTTAAAAATGTAGTGTTTTGATGCCCTGGCCAGTGTGGCTCAGTTGGCTGGAGCATTGTCCCATGCACCACAGGTTGTCAGTTCGATTCCAATCAAGGCAATTACTCAGGTTGTGGGTTAGATCCCCAGTCAGTGTGTGTACGGGAGGCAACCGATCCATGTTCCTCTCTCTCTTTCTCAAGTTCAATAAAAAACACGTTAAAAAATAGTAGTGTTTTGAAAAAGAAATTAAAGACACAGACAACAGTATGGTGATTACCAGAGAGAAAGGGGGGCAGGGGAAATAGAAGAGGGTATGGGGGGATAAATGGTAATGGAAGTAGACTTGACTTGGGGTGGTGAACACACAATATAATATACAGATGATGTATTATACAAATGAAACCTACATAATTTTATTAACTAATGTCACCCCAATAAATTCAATAAAAAAAGAAAAAAAATGCAGTGTTTTGGAGCAGACCTCACTACATTAATTTGAACTTTCAAAATGTAAAACACATAAAATGTAAAAAAGAGGTTTTAAAAAACAACTTTTACTAGCACTGGCCTTTAGAGCTAAGACAACTCTATTCAAATATCATAGCTAGTCAATGTTAAACTCTTAATATAGCATCTTTTTTTTTTCCTGAAGATGTTTACAAACCAAACTTTGAGGATAACTTATTATGGTTTATTCAAAAATGAAATTAGCTATTTTATTTCATACACTCTCATATCCTGCCCCTATAAAGGGTAATCATAGTATAAATGTCTTTTTCTAACTCATTTAAAGCTCTGAACTTGTTTTATATCCCTTCCTCCACCAGCATATCATTCTTTTCTTTTTTCTTTTTTTCAGGGTATCATCCCGATTAAAATCACAGTGAAAAATCTTCAAGGTCAATACCAATACTATAGCTCCAACATACCTAAGTTCGTCCATTTCCCTCTTCTTCTTCATCTCTTCCTTTTCTCTCCTTTTCATTTCCTGAATTTGGGCTTTTTTCTCATTCCTTTCCTCCCGGTCTCTGCATTCCTTCTCTGCTGCTAGGTCTGGGAACCGCTCTGTTTTGGTCTTTTCTAATCGGTTCAAGATCTCATTTACTTTCTTCTCCACTGTCACAATTTTCACCTTTGAGGGAGACAGGGGAAAAATATTGAATCTTTATTATATGATTTCCCCCCAAGAACAGGGGAGAGGCTTTCCAGGGGCTCAGCCACCCAGCTTAATTTTCTTTAAATAACATACATCATGCTGAGCCCTCAACAACAAAGCTGTTAGACAGAAAAGACGATATCCCACTCGGTGGCAGGACTCCGCCTCCCTCGGTGGTGCAGAACACTTACATCCTTCTGCCTGTGAAAGCCTATCTGTCCCACGTCCATGTCAGCTGTTTTCTTCAGGTTAGACCACGGTGTATATACCACATTAACGTTGTTCATCTTGCAGCCTGCCAAGAGAGACTATCTTCAGCATGCAGGCAGCATGACACTGAGCAAAGTGATCCCTCACCCACTGGCAAATCACCATAAACCAATGAAGGAAAAAGCTTAGAATGAACAAGGCATCAAGTGTTTCAAACCACAAAACACCCACAAAAGGCAAATGGTAAAGTTGACAAACACAATTCAAGCAAAATTATGACAGTAGAAAGCAGGGGTCCATGGGTCTGCTTTAGGGACTTCTGAGACTCCCTAAAATTGAATGCAAAACTTACTATATACTGTTTTTAAAGAGAAAGGTCCAAACAGATTTGCTCCGATTCTCAGAGGAGTCCTTGATCCAATAAAGGATAAGCAGCAAGATAAAGCAAAAAGCCATGGCCTGGGATTCAAAAGACCTGCACTCTATCCTGGCCCTACCACAAACCAGCTGTGCCACCTTGGGAAAGTCCGCACAGCTCTCAGAATCTCATCTGAAACATGAGGTCACTGGACCAGTGTAGTAACATTTTTGTTTTTGCTTCTTTTAGCAGTGGAACCTCTTTTACCAAAGAAACATATCAAAGTAATTAAAGCAGAGATGCTCTGGATAAAAGGGATGCCAGGTGCCCTCCTGTGTATTCCTCCTTTGTCCTTACCACCTCCACTTCACATTTCCCCCTCTGAACCAACAGCCTCAGGCAGCTCAAAGAACCACAGGTTAGCCCTAGCTGGTTAGTGGACAGAGCATCGGTCCTCAGACTGAAGGATCGGGATCCGATTCTGGTCAGGGGTATGTCACTCGGTTGCAGGCTCAATCCTGGTTGGGGTGCATGCGGGAGGCAACCAATCGATGTGTCTCTTTCACACTGATGTTTCTCTCTGTCTCTCCCTCTCCCTTCCAATCTCTCTAAAAATAAATGGAAAAATATTCTTGGGTGAGGATTAACAACAACAATAAAAATTATCAGTTCAACCGTTGGTCCAACACTCTTTAAGGCCCTTCAAAATTAGGCGGCAATATATTTCAGTTTATTAAATCATCACGTACATTGGAGAAATCTGTGACCACAACCTTACTTTGCTTATGAAGTATTACTGCCTGTAAATTTGTAATGTGATCCTATTCAAGAGGAAGCACCAGACCAATCCAAATCATGGGATATTCTATAACGGGTCTCCACTCTGAAAGTATTAGTGCCCTAAAAGACAAAGAAGTATCTCCAGATAAAAGGAGACTAGAGAGACATACCAAGTAAATATAACACATGATCCTGAATTAGAAAAAATGCTATGAAGGGACAGTAGTGGAACAGAAGGAAAACTTATATACAGACTGTATATGAGATAACAGTATTTGATCCATGTTAAATTTTAATTGATCATTGTAATGCATTCACTTAAGAAAATGTCCTTATTCTGAGGACATAAATGACAGTTTATGATGCCACGATTTCCTTTCATATTATTCAAATAAGAAAGTTAATCATAAGTGTGTCACAGAGAGAAAGCAAATAAATATGGAAAAATCGTTGAACCTAGGTGAAGAGTATATGAGAGCTGTATTTTTCTTGCAACTTTTCAAGATAATAAAATAAAGTTTTAAAAAAACTCCAATGAGCAAGGGGGATACAAACATGGATTAGACAATGGATTCTGCCTTTCAAGACTAAAGGAGTGCAGGTAAGTACATAAATAACTTCAATTAAAAGTAGAACTCATCGAGTATCAGAAAGGTACAGGTAAAGTGGTAAGATGGTACAGAGAGGGCAGTGGTCACACAAAGCTGGAGAAGGGAAAGGCTCCATGAAAGAGGTTAGTATAGCTTAGTGGGAAAGACAGAAGACTTTAAAGTCAGAGTGTCTGACTTCAAATGCAGTCTCTACCACGTCTGATACCTTGGGTAAGTTCCTTTAATTCTCTTTCAGCTCTGCATCCCCATCTATAAAATGACAATAATAATATCTAACTCAGTAGGGCTGATAAATAATTTGTAAAGTTTTTACCATAGTGCCAGGCACATCATTAACATTCAGTGTTAGCTATTACTACAACTATTATGTTGGCCTTGAACCTCAACGTGGATGTGAACTTGTGATGATTGAAAAGGAGGACAAAACTGAAAGCAGAGGGAACGATAAAATCATGTGCCACATAACATTTCGGTCATGGAATTGAAAATGTCCTACTGACTAGTGATGTATGAATGGCATCTGCAAGAAGACACTCAAGGGGTTCATCCACGACTGCCAAGGATGAGGAGTTTGCAAAAATCAACAAGGCTGTGGTTGAGATGGCAATCAACTTTTACCTGAGTGTGGATAGGACAACTGAGGAGCTCCTAGAGGTGGTTCCTGAGGAATTGATTAATGAGGAGTTATTGGAACTGAACAGGAACACATAGCTGAAGAAGAAGCAAGAGAACAGGAAACTTCAGGAAAAGAAAAAAAGAAGAATCCGTAAGAAAATTCACAGTGGAGGAGATTTTAGCAGAAGCTTTTGCAGACCTCAACAAGATCCTTAAAAAATTAGAAAACATGGACCCCCTCACCCCAACTGAAAGGTTTTCATTAACAGAGAAGAATATTTATGGTGCATTATTTGCTTGCAAGCAAATCTGATGGGAAAAACAACAAAACAAAAACCAAACCAAGGAAACCACCATGGTCCTATTTCTGAGAAGAGTGACACCTCCTCAAGAAGAGCCCCGGCAGCTCCTTCAGGAGGTGTCCCAGGAAGAGGCATCGTTATCACAGGAGATGACAGCTCCACGCATGTTACTGCCCCTGAAGACCTTCCAGTGGGACAGGACGAGGCGGTGGAAGACAGTGATACTGATGATCTGACCCTGTGGAGCCTAGGATCATGTGCATATTAGTGTCTTCATTTTTAACAAAAAAAGTTTAAAAAGTAAAATAAAAATTTTTAATAAATTATAAATAGAAAAAAGCTTATAGAATAAGGTTATAAAGAAAATATTTTTGTACAACTGTACAAATGTGTGTTTTAAGCTCTTACTACAAAGAGTCAAAAAGTTAAAAAATTTTAAAGTTTATAAAGTGAAAAAGTTACAGTAAGCTAAGGCTATACTGAAGAAAGATATTTTTAAATAAAAGTAGGGTAGCATAAGTGTATAGTATTTATAAAAGCTACAATAGTATACAAGAATATTCTAGGCCTTCACTCACCACTAGGCCTTCACATTCACTCACTCAATGATTCACTCAGAGCAACTTCCAGGCCTGAAAGTTACATTCACAGTAAGCACCCTATACAGGTGTACCATTTTTTATCTTTTCTACCACACTTTTTACTGTACCTTTTCTATGTTTAATCACACAGATACTTACGATTGTGCTATAGTATTTACTACATGAACATGTACAGATTTGTAGCCTAGCAGCAATAGGCTACATGTGTAGTAGGCTATACTATCTAGGTTTATATAAGTTCACTGTATGATGTTTGTACAATGACAACATTGCCTAGCGATGCATTTCTCAGAACACATCCCCATCATTAAATGACACATGGCTGTATAAGCAGAGATAGAAAAACAGCAAATACTTGGTTTGGCTGGAGTGTGAAATAGGTGAGGGGAAAAGGAGTTATGTAGTCAGATCAAAGATGCTTAATGCCAGCTTAAGAAGTCTGGACTCAACTGTATAGACAAGGTGAGGGTGTCATGAAGTATCTAAGCATTTAGAAAGTTTAATCTGGCAAGAGAGTATACGATGAATATAAAACAGGCTGACCAGACTCTAAGAATACAAACAAGTTTAATCCCAAGTCCCTTGATTCTGAGTGCTGAAGGTGGTCAACCACGGAGGAAAATACTTTAACTACTCGGTGACACAAATGGAGAATGCTTAGCAAAGTTCACAGCAAGGAAAACCTCCTTCACTCCTCAGCATCCTCTGCTACTGACTCAGAGTGAAGCTCTTACTTAGGCCCAGCTCCTTGTTCTGCTAAGTGAGTTGTCGCTGTGCAAGGCTGAAGAGGAGAGAAGAATTCTGTGTCATGACTCTTCTCGGTTTCTGTTTTCTCTAAAACTAGTAGAGATTAAGAAAAAAGAGGCTGGGCCAAGAATAAAGAGTCTAAAGCTCTTTTAATAAAGTCACATCTGCTAGCCAGGGGCATGGAAATGGGACAAGAACACGTGAAAGAGATTGCAACAAACAAGAAAAGAGAATACAATAGTTTTAGTTTGTATTATTTTTATGTCAATAAAATAGACAAGCACCAAGCCCAGTATTACAGGCCCTACCTGAAACATTTATCACCAATTGTTCTCAACTCTCTCTGCACATTAGAATCACCTGGAGAGCATGTCCAGCATACAGATACTCACAGAGTGCCCCAAATTAAATAAGATTCTCTGGGGGATAAATAACTGATTTGATACATTCACAATTTATAGGGAGAACAAAATAAGAGAAGACAAGAGGGAAAAGCAGGAGTGATTTGGAGACTTGAGTCCTAGTATCTAATGGCAAATAGTGGAAACAAAGACATCAAACAACATAAAAATAAAGCCGTGAGAGACATTTCTTGCTTAGCTATTAACACATCCCAATTTCTGAAAGTCTCTACAATAACCATAAAGGTAGGCAAGTATAGACAACTTACTATTCAAGGTAAGAAAAACAAGCCTGGCCAGCATGGCTCAGTGGTTGAGCGTAGACCTATGAACCAGGAGGTCACAGTTCGATTCCCGGTCAGGGCACATGCCCGGGGTCTGGGCTTGATCCCCAGTGGGGGGGCGTGCAGGAGGCAGCTGATTAGTGATTCTATCTCATCACTGATGTTTCTATTTCTTTCTCCCTTCCTCTCTGAAATTAATAAAAATAAATAAAACGAAAAGAAAAACAAGGTAAAAGAATTGAGATAGGGTCATAAACATTAGAGCGGTGGGGAGATTACTTTTTAGTTCTTTGGTAGGTAGCAGAAATGCCATCTTAAAGAAAAAAACAGGGCAAAGGCCTATTACATGGCAGTCCTTTCACACAAGCCAAAGTGAGGAATATTTTCTCTAAAATGTAATCCATTTCAGACACAGGGAAATCATTGCTAATTCCGAAAGCACCTCTATGAAAACTGACCTTGAATGCTATTGGCTTTCACAAGTTGGGCACAGTCCATCAATACGTCCTGTGGAATGTCTTCTATGTTCTCCCCCTGAAACACAAAAATAAACCAAATGGTCTACTACGCTGTTACTGATGGATACTGGAGCACTCACTAGGCTTTGCTGACTTACCAGGAACAATCTTATTAAAAGCAGAGGCTCTTCAACTGTATTTCAGAACACTGAAAACTGAAGCCTGTTACAGGAATGTTTATTTAAACTGACAGAAGGCAGTGATATAGAAAATACTGATAGATGATAAGTAAAAAAAATACAAACACAGGGTATGATAGAAAACTATCAAAGTATTAAGTAACTATGCCTGAGTAATTTCTCTTTCTTCTTCTCATTCTTACCTCTAGAAAGGTTGTGGGGAAATGGTGTCTATTTTTGACAACTGGATGTCTCCTTAGCTGAGGTCCCTACAACCTTTCTCTCAAAGAGACACCTTATAGTTCTGGAACTCAAACATCTAGTAGGTCATCTATCCTCAGCCTTAATCAGGAAGCAACCTCTTGGTGTGTTAAATAAAACCATTCACTATAAGGAAGAAATAATATTGATTCTCTTCTCTACAGATAATGTATCAAAGTCAAAGCTGAATAAGCAAAGCCATTTCAGAAGAAAAATATTTCAGAGGCAAGAGCAAATGGAAATCAGCCCAGTATTGACTCCTAGTAGGCATGGGATTACAGAAGCAGTTCTGTCTGGGATTGAAATGTTCTACCGACATAAATACTTGAGATAAATTAAGTGTATTCCATTATGTTTCTACACATTTCCTTTATATTAAATGTTTCAAGTGGGACTCTCTCTCAAATACATAAATTTTGACACAAAACCAGTGACTTAAGTGTGTCACTACTTTAATGACGTATCTCATCCTGTGCAATTCCCTGACCACACAGAGGATTCTGAATTTAACATCTTGATTACACAATGTCATCATTAAGGATATCAACCATTATACTAGGCCCGTGGTCGGCAAACTGCGGCTCGCGAGCCACATGCGGCTCTTTGACCCCTTGAGTGTGGCTCTTCCTAAGCCTTAGGAGTACTCTAAGTTAATAACAATGTACCTACCTATACAGTTTAAGTTTTAAAAAATCTGGCTCTCAAAAGAAATTTCAATCGTTGTACTGTTGATATTTGGCTCTGTTGATTAATGAGTTTGTCAACCACTGTGCTAGGCTATAATATAGTGACAGTGATGCCTTCAGGGGCTTCTACAAGACACAGGAGCTGATGGACTCTATGCTAAATAAATCAAAAAGAAAATTAAAGAACAATAGCTACCAGTTTCTGAGTACCCACTACATGCCAGGTATTACGAAGTCATACAAAATGGATAGTATTACCCTCATTTTACCAATGAAGAAAATGAAGCGTAGTGAGGTTAACATATCTAGTTAAGTGACAGAACTGAGAGATAAACCTAAAACTAGAACCAGCTCTAAGAATTGGCCCAGAATCTGGTACCGGTGGAGTTCTTGTGGAAACATTCGTTTCTTGGCCTTGATGTCAGGCTGTATCCTAATATCCCTTCTCACTACCTGTGGCTGTCACTATTCCTGGAGCAATCTCCACTTCTGTTTTGCAACTTCTAATATAATATGAGCAGAAAAACAAGCCTCACTCAACTTAGCATTATTCATAAAGTTAGAGTAAACAAATTAAGTGGAGCGTCTAAGGTACTCTCAAGATGTAAAGATCAGAATTTAAACCGTGGGCTTTGTGCCATCTATGTTAATATGGTAAGAAACTGCTACATAAGTGAGATTTTTCTATGGGTTTTTAAAAATAAAAGAAGCCTGGGAAAGCACAGCTGAATATCTATGATCTTCAAGGTTTGGGTTGAATTCAACTGAATTCGGTAAAATAAATAAGTAAATAACACCTACAATGCTTAGCATGTGCCAGGCATTATTCTAAGTACTTCAGATAGACAAGCTCATCTAATCTTCACAATCCTATCCTATATAATAAAGAGGTAATATGCAAATTAACCCTCACACCCTCACAAGATGGCTGCCTACAACCAGGCCAGCAAGGGGGTTAGTGAGGGACAACCAAACGACTGAAGAAGCAGGCTGCATGGGGCGACCAGGCCGGCAGAGGGGTCAGTTGAGGGTGACCAAGCTGGCAGGGGGGGCAGTAAGAGGTGACAAGGCCAGCAGAGGGGGGTAGTTGGGGGTGACCAGGCTGGCGGGGGCGCAGTAAGGGGTGACCAGGCCGGCAGGGGGTGCCTAAACCAGCAGTCGGACATCCCCCGAGGGGTCCCGGATTGGAGGGGGTGCAGGGTGGGTGAGGGGACCCTCCCCCCCCCCATGAACGATTTTCGTGCACTGGACCTCTGGTCCTATATAATAAAAGGGTAATTATGCAAATTGACCAAACGGCAGAATGATCCGTTGCTATGACATGCACTGACCACCAGGGGGCAGATGCTCAACGCAGGAACTGCCCCCTGGTGGTCAGTGTGCTCCCACAGGGGGAGTGCCGCTCAGCCAGAAGCCAGGCTCACTGCTGGAGAGCACAGAAACGGTGGCGGGAGCCTCTCCCACCTCCATAGCAGTGCCAAGGATGTCCAACTGCCTAAACCAGTGGTTCTCAACTGTGGGTCGCTACCCCTTTGGGGATCGAACGACCCTTTCACAAGGGTTGCCTACGACCATCGGAAAACACATATATAATTACATATTGTTTTTGTGATTAATCACTATGCTTTATGTTCAATTTGTAACAATGAAAATACATCCTGCATATCAGATATTTACATGATTCATAACAATAGCAAAATTACAGTTATGAAGTAGCCACGGAAATAATTTTATGGTTGGGGGTCACCACAACATGAGGAACTGTATTAAAAGGTCGCGGCATTAGGAAGAACCACTGACCTAAACCGTCAGTTGGACATCCCTCAAGGGCTTCTGGACTGCAAGAGGGTACAGGTTGAGCTGAGGGACTCCCCTACCCCAAACCAAGTGCATGAATCTCGGGCACCAGGCCTCTAGTGACCCAATAAAATCAGTACTGTTAGCTCCCCTTTACAGATGATGAAATGAGCACAGTTAAATAACTTGCTTAGAGTCACAGCAAGCAGCAGAGATAGGATTCAAACCTAGAGTCTGAGCTCAGAACCACTTAGTCCTATTGCATTTCCAACACTTACTTGGTACCTACTAGGTACAAAGGTCTATGTCATTTACTGCAGGAGATCAACCAGGTAAGAGTTTCTGAAAGAGCACATATTTTTATTGAGCACAATATGTGCTTCTAAACAAAAATAACATTAAAACTTCTATTCAAACAAGTAAAAACTGGTGGTAATGCAAACTTGTGATAATCACCATTATTTCCATTTTTTAACACAGCAGAACCCAAAGGAAAAACTTTCATGTGAACCAAAAGGAAACTTGGTAACACCACACTCTATTTTTTCTAAACTAAAACTTAAAATAGTTCCAAAATGGCAAGAAGTGGCCTTGGAGAATTCAGAATTTTGTTCCAGCACAGAGTTCACAATCTTCCTCTCTTCCTTTACATTACAGTTTTCAAAAACAAGAGTATAACTAAAGATAGGGTACAATGTTTAACCTTGCTAGAAAATTAAATGAATATTATAACTATAATGAAATAGCATCATGTATTTGGTTGCTTTTTTTAAGTTACAAAATTCCCAAAAGTGTTGGGAAAACCTGTAATTATGTGATAGCATTTTAAATTAACACAATACTTTCAGAGAGCAATCTGGCATAAAAGGAGTTACCGAACTACTTATATCTTTGACCCAATAATTCTATTTCTGATAATTACTCTAAAAAATAATTCAAAAGAAAAAACAGTTCATAAAAAATATTTCTTGCCCTGGCCAGTGCAGCTCAGTTGGTTAGAGTGTCCACCCATACAATCAAATGAAAGGTGGCACGCTCAAGTCCCCGTCAGGGCACATACCCAGGTTGTGGGTTCGATCCCCATCAGAGCACGTACGGGAGGCAATCGATCGATGTTTCTCTCACATCAATGTTTCTCTCTGCCTTTCCCCTCTCTCTTGTTGGAGTCATAATGCTGAAAACTGTAAATCTAAATTTTGACATAGAAGCTTTCATATTAATTGTGGCATACTGCCAACTCAAAGCAGTCAGTCAAAAAAATATGAAAATAACACAGTAACATGAAAAAGTTTATAGACTGTCACTTCAAAAGTAATACAACAGCCCTAGCTGTTTGGCTCAGTGGAAAGAGCATCAGCCTGGGGACTCAAGGGTCCCAGGTTCTACTGCGGTCAAGGGCATGTACTTAGGTTGCAGGTTTGATCACCAGACCTGGTTGGGGTGTGTGCAAAGGCAACCAATCAATGTGTCTCTCTCACATTAATGTTTCTCTCTCACATTAATGTTTCTCTCTCTGTCTCTCTCCCTTCCACTCTGTAAAAACCAATGGAAAAATATCCTCAGGTGAGGATTAAAAAAAAACAAAAACTTTAAAGCAGCGGTCGCCAACTGGTGGACCGCAAGGTCCGAAAGGTTGGCGACCGCTGCTTTAAAGCCCTTACATAACAACTTAAAAAAAGAGAGAGAGAGAGAGTAATACAATCAACCAGGCAATGCCAGGATGGAAGGTCAACTGAGACAAAAGAATCTAATTGTATTACAAGCTTATGACAAAACATCACTGAAGGGGATTGCGGGGGTGGAGAGAGGGAGCTTGTAAGTAACTTTGGAAAACTGTTTTGACTAGAAGCTATAAGGTGAAAAAACAAAAACTGCACATAAACACTGTACTTTAGTTGATATAGTGGTTTCATATGGGAATATGGGTTAACAAATTTGAAACCATTTACACATATATTGAAGTCAAATAAATATGCAAATAAAAGGTGGATGGTGGGAGCTAGGTTTCTCACGGTCTGAGAAGGATCTTACAGATATGCAAGGAGGAAAAGCAAGAATGGCCCATGTAGTAATGGATTGGACAGAGACAATGGTATGAGCTCCTATTCAGCTAAATGTGGACACAGGTAGAGATACAGAAACAATTGTTCATGAGTGTATACATGAATTAGTATAAATACATGTATTTCCTAGCTCTGTCAAGTGAGAGGGCCTTTCTGTTATTCTTCCCTCCAAACCCATAACTCTAGTCTATTCATGACAAAAACATCAGATAAACCCAATATAAAATATTTGACCAAAACTTCTCAAACTGCCAAGGTCATGAAAAACAGAGAAAGACTGAGAAACTATCACAGACCAAAGACTAGGCAGACACGACAACTAAATGCACAACTAAATGTGGGACCCTGGATTAGATCCTGGAATAGAAAGAGAACATTATGGAAAAAATGAGGAAATCAAATAGAGTCTGTATTTTAGTTAATAATAATGTACCATTGTTGGTTTCCAAGTTATGACAAATCTGTGGTAGTGTACGATGCTAACATTGAGGGAAACTGGATGTACCCACTCTTTGTAAATCTAAAATCATCCCAAAATAAAACATTTTAAAGAGCAATACACATAACAAGTATTTATACACCCTATGACTCAACTATATAAAATATAACATATGGATGTAAAGACAAATTGGAAGAATAGTGGTTTTATGTTACTAGGGAACATTAACATCTTCCTTTACTGCTATAATGGTGCTTTAAACCCCCCAAACCCCTGATAACTGGGAACAGCTGCCCTTGGTGATGCAGGAAAATCACGAGCCTGAGAAAAAAGAACCACGGCGTGATCTCCACTGGAGAAGACAGGAAGTCCAGTAGTGTCAATGGAAGTGAAAGGGAGAGAAAGCAGAGGTGACAGAGAACACACCTGAACTGACAGAATAAAGCAGTGCTTCTAGCTGGGAAATAGCACTCAAAATCACCGGAATGTCCCTTAGTGATTCTCTGTGTCAGGGGAAGACATCTCTTTATTTGTTAATTTTCACACTTTTGCACGTATTTATTATTTTAAGCAATTTAATTGCATAAAAAAAGGATAGAGGACAAGATATGATGTTCATCACTAAAGAAAAAGTCATGAATCCATGTTTATATCCAATTACCTTATGTAATCGAAGGTATACATGAGCCGAAGAGAGTTTGTCCACATGAAACCTACAAAGAATGAAAACCACTTTTAGCAAGATATAGCAGACAACCATCTCCGTGGGCCACCTGCATTTAAAGCATTCCAATCCAGGAAGTATTAACTCAGTGCCTACCACATGCTAAGCAACATGGGGAATATAAAACACAGTCACGGACTCCACAGGCCTCACCATCAACTGGGAGAGGTAAGATAAACTTTATGAAAAGTTCTACAGCTGTGTGAGACTAAGGGTCAAGATGAGTACTGGAGACGATAAACATTACATGCCGGGGACGGGTGCTTTTTCAAGTGAGAAAGTGCTATCAGTGACAAAAGGCTTCCCTGGCAGACTGAGATTTGGCAGGTCCCTGACTGAAGCACAGGACTTAGAGAAAGCAGGGCAAGGAATTTCAGTTAAGAAGAGAATAAAATTAGTTAGCAAGACGCCAATGCTGCAAGCCTTGGGAGACTTGTAGGACCAATGACAGAAATACCTTACAGTAGGAGAAGGCACCAATTTAGAGTAAAAGATGAGGAGTTTAGTTTGGGACATCCTGAGTTTCAAGCAATGGCAAAACAACCCAAAGAGAATGTCAAGCAGAGCTGGAAGAATCAGGTGAGGAATGAAGACAGTAAACAGACACATCATAAAATGGGACAGTCCAAGAATTCACCCAGCCTTACATCTGGCAATGGCACTACTACCAGTACACGTCTCCTCGGAGAACATGGTGATTGCCCTTATGACACTGTCCCAAAAAAATCCAAATGCCCTCCCACCCCAACATCCTAAATTTATCTTCCATTACGGCTCTATCATCCACCAATTTAATTACATCTTTTAAAATATACTTTCTTTTTCACCTGGTTGAACATTTTGGGATATTACGTTTTTCATATTTACAATTCACCAAATGAGGTTGACATTCTCTCTTCCAACACCCAGTGATGTCCCAGAATCCTAGCATCACATGATTGTCACTCTGTGATTCTGTTAACTTTAGTCATCGCCTCCTTAGTCCTTGCCTTTCCAGACTGAAGAATGTACAATAAAACCTTAAGGAGGCACCATTACATACCATCATATCCTTCTCTAGACATTTTCTTAGCATTAATGTATTTTTTCAGAAGTGAAATGTTCACACTGTGTGATTCTACATAAAGGTTAAGATTATGCTATTTCTAATGTCCTCTTTAAAGAGGTTAAGCATCTTGCTACTTACTTTGGATACAGAAAAATATTACACATTTTGGCAGCCTATGACAAAGCTAGATTTTATTCTTAACCATTACTGATAGCAAGAAGTGAGTATAAATAACGTCTTGATTTTTTTCCAACTGGTTCATTAACTCATTTGCATTTCCATGTAAAAGATTCCTACAGATTGTCATCTCCAATTTGGCATTCCCCTCCTTCTGAAAAATTTTTTTGTGTGTGCAAATCTAGAAATTACATATCTCATTACCCTCTTCCAGGATCTTAGGAAAATACCCCATTAATAAGCAAGCTCAACTGAGGAGTAACTTCTCCCATTCCAACTTGTTTTGAACCATTTCTCTATTTACAACAACTCTCCTATATACCCATAATAGCTCAATTGTATTCTGATTTTCCTTAAAAGCCCCTGATCTAAAATTTGACCAAAAGAAATACACAAACAATTCAATATACTCACTAGTATTTCCAGAGATCTAACATACACTATTTCTATTTTCCTTTGTTTAAAGGTGAATTAGTTCCATTCCCATTTAGTCCTAGGAAAATCCTTTGCTTAAAGGCACCTCAGAGGTTTCCTGGTATACACTCAGATGCTGGCTTTCAGAGGTAAAGCCTCAGAGTGAGGCAGTGAACCAGGAAAACCTGCCCTGGGGTGCAGATCACTGCATCCTTCTTAGCAGGCCCAGGAATGTCCCCAGGATTGACAGTTTATATACCAGAACAGGTCTTACATTTAGGGTTCTTCCAGCTCACAGCAGACTCAAATAGCTTCTGAAAGTAAGTCAATCACTTTCAACAATAGTCATTAATCGCAAGACTATTAAAGAGTGTCAAAAGGGTCAAGGATGTCTAGGTATCAGCAGACACCAGTTTGGCTCAGTAGTATTCCGGGAGATAGTCAAAGTTAACAAAATGGAAAACCCAAGACATAATACATGGGTGTACATTGTAAATGGAAAATTTATTTTCCACTTCTTAAATTGTTTCTTAAATGCCAGGTAAAAGGCTATGGCAAATTACTCCCATGGTGCATCTGAATATATGCAAACATTTCTGCCTCAAACCTGACATGTTAAAAATTGGCAAAACGGCCCTAGCAGGTTTGGCTTTAGTGGATAGAGCGTTGACCTGTGGACTGAAGGGTCCCGGGTTCAATTCCGGTCAAGGGCATAAGCCCGGGTTACAAGCTCAATGCCCAGTAGGGGGCATGCAGGAGGCAGGCAACCAATGATTCTCTCTCATCATTGATGTGTCTATCTCTCTCTTCCTCTCCTTTCGTCTCTGAAATCAATACAAAAATATTTTTTGAAAATTTACAAAAGGTAACTACATTAACAAGTGTAGCCATTCTTATCCCCCTTGATAGAGTCTGGAAATCTTTGGGCTTTAAGGACAACTGAAACAATCCAGCTGGGGGTGACAGGTGCTCAAAATGGAGATAACCAGAATGCAATTATTGTGAAAAATGTCCAGTGGAGATCACTTCCACACAGGCAAAGAGCTGGTCAATTAGGAAGTCAACAAACAGTCACTGAACCTCTGTGCCAGGTCTTATGCTAAGTACTGGGAATCTAGTAGTTAAAGCAGATCACTGTTTTCATGGGGCTTACAATCAAGGGTCCTAGGAAGGTAGGCAGCACCCAACCCAGAAGCCCACAGCAGTGCAAACTGTCCACCTGAGGTAAGGGAGTACCAAGCACTGTCTACCTCAATGACATATTTGCGTTCAGAAAATGGGCCACTGTGCTGGGACAGGGGGCAGATAAAGACTGTAAAATTCCTCAAGTTTCTAGTGCCTCTTGGTTCCTGGCATGTAGACTTTAGAGAAGGCAGACAGACATGAAAGCATTTCCACTGGGGTATGAATTAGCCCCTTCATAAAGGGGCAGGAGCGGAGGCGCCCATCAGCAGGAGCATAGAAAAAGTAAGCGAACTGAGTCTAGGGGTAGCTTCAGTTAGTCACTGTAATATTTTTCCTACTAAATGTTCAATGCTGTATACCTTATTGAAAATCAATCAACTCTTCTAAAAAGTGGCAGCCTTAACTCTGTCACTGTAGGGAATTAAGTGAAGGACCTGGGCCCACTTGGAGAAAAGAGGTCCAGGGAGAACCACAGCCACAGCTTGAGGAAGAAAGAAGTGACCTGCAGCCAAGAGTAGCAGCTTAGAGGGACAGAGAAGTTGTGATTTAGAACTACAGCTAACCGGGGGCCAGCAACAACCAGAGCAGATCTATTCAGTTTCTCTTAACCTTAGTTTCCTTATCTGAAAAGTGGGCGTATCAGTAACTACTTCACAGGGTTGATGTGAAACTAAATGTATTAATGGAAGTAAACATTTAACAGTATTTGGCATATAGTTAAGTGCTCAATTATGTTCATTATTACTATCATTAAAGTAATAGGATCCATGAGCTTATCTTCAGGAAGAGCATTTGGTAGGGGTGTTAGGAGCTGTAGAGACCATATCCCACTCTATAGGCAGAATGAGGCTCCAGGAGAAAGACATCAACAAGGTGTAATGTAACATGGTGTAAGCAGAAGATGGAAAAACAGTTTTAATCATAGGAGTCAGGTGGCTGGCCAGGTCTAAGAAAATAAATAAGGATCCACTGAAAGCAGAACCCAAATTGTTACTTACCAAATATCTTCAGGCCAGCCATACTTTATTAGATCCTCATCTACAGGGAAATACGAGAGAACAAAGAAAAGGTAAAAAACCGTCAAATGAAGAAATGCTAGTTTATAGATAATTGGAAAGGGAGAAATATCAATCTTTTCCACAACTTTGTTCTCCTCCCATAAAGAAGAAATGAGTAATTCAGAGAGTCTTTGATGCTTGGAAATGCTGTAAAAATAGTTTCTACAACTGGACAATTATAATTGTTATAATTTTTCATAATAATATTATAAAGTTCAAAGATATATTTGAAGATAGTAAAACTGACAAATCAGAGCAGCTGAGAAGTTAATGTCTTAGAACAAGCATGTCAAACTCGCAGCCCACAACAAATATTTTTGCAGCCCAGCAAATATAAATATAGCACTATGTAAGAAACGTTTTAATAAAAATTTTGTAACTTAATTTTTACAATATCCTGTTACACATAATTTTATTAATAACGAACGACAATGTTCGCTAATGACTGATTACTATAATCGTGTTGCATTCATTTCCCTTACGGGCCTTACACGCAGGCACACCATTTCTCTCCACTAATTCCAGCAGTGGGTATTTTAGCAGCCCAGTGCCACATCCTTAGTCTTGTACTGACTTGTTTGGTGTGCGCAACAGGAAATATTTTGCTTTTGGAGAACAAGAAAAATAGGTTCATTTGTGTTACGCGTATTAATTTGTGCAGTTATTCAGTGTCTGGTAAGTTAATGTTCAAGAAAAAATATTAATTTTTATTAAAATGTTCTATTATTTTATGTTAACAATTACTCATTTATTTCAGCCCTTTGTATTCAGCATGTCTCTATCGAAATAATCCTACGTTTCTACGACAATTGAAGCTTTTGTTTTTCTTGCGGCCCACATAAACTTAAACCTTATTTAGTCTGTGTTAGCCTTTGAGCTTGACATGCTTACGTCAGAAAATTGAATCACTGTAATAATACTCAATACAGTGAACCTCAGTTCTTGAACTTAATTTGTACCGAAAGCCTGCTTAAGAAGCAATTTGTTCGAAAACCAAATCATTTTTTCCCACTAGAAATAATGTAAATTGAATTAGTCTGTTCCAGATCCCTAAATGATTCCGTTCTAACCTTTCTTATATACAGTACATGTCTAATGAACTTCTTAATCCATAAATAAACATACTTCTTTTCTTAAATTTATTGAACCACCCCCTACTAGCTTTAAAGGAATTTTTCTTATATCACTGCCTCCAAAATGCTATCACCAACTAACTGCTTTTTCTTTATCCAAATCAACAACAGTTTTTCTCTCCATTCAATTGCCCATACTAGCTGTTTCGTGAGCACTTTTACACCCTACCAACATTAGCACTCCTGATGGCCTCTTTATGTTTTAAAATTGTGCTAAAGGTAGATTTAGCCAGCAACAAAAGCATTCTCTCCTTTGGTGCCTGAGATGCCGCATGTGGCTCGCAAGCCAGTTTGCTGACCACTGCCCTAGCTGGTTTGGCTCAGTGGATAGAGTACTGGCCTGTGGACAGGTTCGATTCCGGTCAAGGGCATGTACCTTGCTTGTAGACACATCCCCAGTAGGGGGTGTGCAGGAGGCAGCTGATCGATGTTTCTCTCTCATCGATGTTTCTAACTCTCTATCCATCTGCCTTCCTCTCTGTAAAAAATCAATAATACCCAAGATAATACCCAAGAAAATATTATCTATCTAACTTCAATGGGGTATTTCTTTCCCAGAAAAGCAAAAGGATGATAAACCTTAAATGAGGGTACTCTTAGCAACTGCAGGGACCATGAGTTCTCTGAAGGGCCATCTACTAGCTTAAGTGGGAAGCTGAGCAAATAGCCAACAGGTAATGAAAAAATAAAGGGAAATCTAAAAACCTTTTCCTTTAGGCCAGTGGTTTTCAACCTTCCTAATGCCGTGACCCTTTAATACAGTTCCTCGTGTTGTGGTGACGCCCAACCATAAAATTATTTTCGTTGCTACTTCATAACTGTAATTTTGCTACTGTTATGAATCGTAATGTAAATATCTGATATGTAGGATGTATTTTCATTGTTACAAACTAAACATAATTAAAGCATAGTGATTAATCACAAAAACAATATGTAATTATGTATGTGTTTTCCGATGGTCTTAGGCGACCCCTGTGAAAGGGTCATTCGACCACCAAAAGGGTCGCAACCCACAGGTTGAGAACCGCTGCTTCAGGCAATGTTTGGCTCCCTGGTGACACCTACTGGCTTATAAAAGGAATATACCTGAAAGCTGTTAAGTGAAAGTAAATAATTCAATTAAAAATTCATTTATATTCCATCCAGCCTTTAGTCTGAAGTCATCAAAGCTATTTGAAATTAAGTGTGATGTGCTAGGAGCACTAGGATAGGGTGCTTTAAAAATGTTATACCTTTCTGCCCTGGCCTGTGTGGCTCAGTTGGTTGGGCATTGTTTGATTCTGGGTTAGGGCACAGGCCCAGGTTTCAGCCTGATCCCTGGTGGGGGTGGGGATGGGGGTAGGGAGGTGGCCAATCAATGTTTCTCTCTCACATCAATGTTTCTTTCTCCCTCCCTCTCTCAAAAAAAATAATCAAAATAATAAAAAATTTTATAAGAAATTTGACTCTATGCTTCCACTGCTTTTCTGCGCTGCAATGTATATATATTACACCTTTCTTACAAAGCAGACTAGAAGAGTTGATGCCTCCAAATGACTCCATGAATTTTTTGGGGGAAAGTGTTCTATACATATGTAGATTTTTTACCCCTACATATATTTTAGTGACAGCAAACACCACTCCAGTGGACTCTAGACAGAATCTAAATTTACATAAGTAGACAAAAATTCTATATCTAGATTTCTATTTCTGTATTTAAATTCCTCTAAAGGACATTTAAAGGATTCCACACCAAAGAAAACAGGCTAAATAAAGGCTTCCACAATCTAACCCATCCTAATCTACTCCTCCATAAAGCTTTCTCAGTTTGCCCAAATCACATTTACTCTCTGCCCCCTCCACTTCGACAGTATTTGCTATGAATGTATTTTGCCCATACTTTTTCATAGACTTTATTTATTTTTTTTAAGCATTTTGAAGTTTACAGCAAAACTGACCCATTCTTGTTTTAGTATGTGCCTCTACCTGAACACTGTGAAGACACAGACTAAATCTTCCTCTTTGGATACTCACAGAGCTGACACAAATAGACACAGCAGAGCGTAAACTAAAATGGGAGGAATAAGAGCCATGGGGAATGTTACTGGCACAGCTTCTTCAGGTCAGTCAGCACCACAGGCAGCCATCAGTGTGAGCCAGAATCAAGGCAGCTCTTCATTCTAAGAGATTCTCCCCGTCCCAGCCCCGAACTGCAGTGCAAAACCTGCACGGCCACACCTAGCAGCTCTGCTTTCAGTGCTTCTCAGTAACCTCAGTCGTGGGACTGCGTACTGGCTAACAGAAAGAAAAGGAGATCTGGTCAGGTTTGGACCCGTATCTACTGTAGCTACAACCATGGCTCTTATAACTGTGTCTTATTTCTATGTAATACAGGGAGGTAGCAGGCCCTCTTCAGCTTACATTCATCAGGAAGATGCTATGAAAAAAGACACAAATGACCAATGACAATTGATGGGTTGCTAGGAGAAATATAAACTCTAGTATTCATATACAGTGGAACTTTGGTTCCTGAATTTAATTCGTTCCGGAAGGCTGTTCAAGAATCGATTTGATAGAAAACCAAATCATTTTTTCCCATTAGAAATAAGTTAAATTAATCCATTCCAGCAACAAAAGCAAAAAACACCAAAATATTCACTGTACAATTTCCTGAGATGTTAACAATGTGAGGTTTAACAGTAAACTGACCCATACTCATGCATTTTCTCCTTTGTCACCTGAGAGACGACTGATCATACAGGTATCAGCATGAAAGGGTTGTCAGGTCAAGAAGTTTTGTTTGACAACCAAGACATTTTTCTGGGAACAACTTGGTCAAGAACAGAATCGTTCAAAATGGGAGACACTTGAGAACCAAGATTTGACTGTATTGCAAACAGCTTCTCCTTTAAGTCACACCCAGAGTCAATGTCATAAATTCATTATAAGGAAAAACTGTTTATAAATGAGTTACAGTATTCTGTTTTGCTTTTTTCTCTTGGCTAGGATGTGACAGTCTTGCTTTATACTGATTCTGCTTTATAGCAACCAGTATTATAGCAAAGTTCTAAACTGTTTATATAGATCTGATTTATAACTATATTTATATAATTACCTATCACATTATTATATCTCATATATGCTATATATTATACACATGTCATATTTTAAATATAAGTAAATATACATACTAACTACAGGGTCCCCCCAAAAATGCATACACACTGTGAATAATTATTAATTCCAATGGGTTAAATCTGAAAAGATACATTAATTGAGCTATCCCAGAAAAGTGTGTATACATTTTTGGGGGGCACCCTGTATATAATTACATCACTGCTCTTTGACATCTTTTAATTTTTGGCCTTATTTATTTCATTAATGTAAAATGTCTCATACTGAAGAACATTATACTTGCCTCTTTTAAAGGATCAAGTTTAAACTGTTGTCAGTTTCAAACTGCACCTAGAACAGACACTGATGGTTTTAGAAAAGAAACAGAAAGCAATACCTGAAGGTTAAAGAAAGGTGATTGTAGTGAATTAGCCAGCTCTCAGACTACTAAGAAAAGCCATCAACCCTGAGGGTTCCCCATGGAGGGAGGAGGCAGCTTTGAGGAACTAAAGAAGCTCCAGCGATGGTAACTGCTACTTACTAAGTGCCCACTGTGGCTCAGATACTTTACTCAGGCTCTTTCATTAATCGTCACAAGCCTGCAAGGCAGATACCATCCCTTGATCATCTTCTTACAGCTAACAAATCTGAAGTTCAAAGAGGTTAAGTAATATAGCTAGTTTGCTAGAACACTGGAATTGTAACCCAAATTGGCTTGATTTAAGAGCTATCTTTTCCAAAACATCACACTACCCTGAGAGATAAGCAGCTGCATTCTTTAAGCCTAAAGAAGAATAATTCTGGCATTTTTCTCTGGAGCTCTTATTGCCTTTCTTTTCTCCCTCGCTTCTGTGTTCTGTACCCTGAGGGTCAGTGCTGTGGATTCACTGCTCTCTGGGTCAAGAAAGCTAAATTTCACTTTCATCTCCCTCCTGCAGTCAAAAAGGCTACCCACTCAGGCAATGTTTTTCTTTCTAAGATTTAGTTCCAATTCATGGGTGAGTCAAAAAAATCATCTAACAGGCTGAGTGTAGCTTTTAAAACATAAAAAAACTGAAATTAGAGGGCACAGCAAATGATATGGATATTTTTTGTAAATTTTTGTTTCAGTTACATAAGTGTGTACACCGTTTAGTTATATGATTGTGTATGGTATGAAATAATGTATTTGATTCTGAAAAGAATGGTCAACCAAGTAAGATAAAAACTGTTAACATTTCATGACTTAAGAGCCATCTTCGGGGGATAGGGCCTGGGTGAAGGTGGGCAAAGGGGGAGAAATGGGGACATCTGTAAGTCTTAACAAGAAAAATACAGTTAAAGAAAAGCCATCTTCAGCTTCAGAAAACCAATAGATAGGTTTCCACTAACCTTAAATGTGGTAAAAATGTGCAGAAAATGATCTTTTCAAAATTCAAATCACAGATTATTTTTATTTAATCTAAACTAGCAAAGATTAACCTCTGAGTCATATCAACCTAAATCAAAACTCTCTGTAAAGTTTCTATTGAGCAAAAAGGTGGTCTAATTAGCTTAAATATTATCTAATATAACTAAATTTTAGGAAGGTTAATCCCTGAGAGTTCTTTATAACGGGTTAGTAGTAGTTGAAAACTCATATCCAACAAACCGTTGGGGAAAAGCAATTAACACTTACCTTCTGGAAATTTCAAAATCAAATGCTTTTGAAAACTTACTTTCATATTTATCCTTTCCCATGTAAATAGTGTAAGCAGATGAGTTAACTAAGACAAAACAAAAATAAAAAGTGGTTAGATAACTTCATCACCAAAAGTGTTTCATGGGAAAAACAAGTGACAAATGCTTAGATTTGGGGTTGGCAAAAAACATGGTCCATAGGCCAAATCCACCCCTGTTTTTAGATAGCCCTCAAGCTAAGAATGATTTTTATGTTTCAAGGTTGAAAAAAGCAAAACAAGAAAGAACAAGTTATAGATATGTGGCACACAAAGTCTAAAATATTTACTATCTGGCCCAAACAGAAAGTTTACTGACCCTTATTAAAAACTACAGGCCTGGTGCACAAATTCATGCTCCAGTGGGGTCCCTTGGCCTGCCCTGCAGGATTGGGCCGAAACCAGCTCTCCAACATTCCCTGAGGGGTCCCAGATTGGGAGGGTGCAGGCCAGGCCAAGGGACCCCACCGGTGTACAATCGGGGTCAGGGAGGGACTGTAGGAGGGTTCCAGGGAGTGTCCTGCCCATCTCGCTCAGTCCCAATCAGCCAAACCCCAGCAGCAAGCTAACCTACCAATTGGAGCATCTACCCCCTGGTAGTCAGTGCTCATCATAGTGATTGGTCGGCCAGTCAACTGTCTGCCCCCTAGTGGTCAGTGCGCATCATAGCAAGTGGTTGAGTGGCCTTAGCATATCATTAGCATACTACACTTTGACTGGTTGAATGGACAACTGGACACTTAGCATAGTAGACTTTTATTATATAGGATATTTCAGGTGTGCCACAAATTATAATGGGTTCCCTGTCCCACTAGGAAGAAACATGAGTCTTAAACTTGCAAAAGTGACATTGTAAAAGTCATGAAATGTTACTCTGAATTCTGATTACATATTAGAATCACCTAATGATGCCTCAGCTTCACCTAAGACTAAGCAAATCCTAATCTCTGGGGGAAGGCACTGTTTTTGTTTGTTTTTTTTAAAGATCTCCAAGTGATTCTAGTGTGAAATCAGCATTAGGAACCATGATCCTAAATCAAACCAAATATTCTGGGTATGGCTTACCTTAGAAATGACATTATTTTGCTGAGCTAGTGTTTAACGAGGGCATCCTCCATTTGGAGTAAAACAAAAAGTTTCAAGTTTTCTAATTGAAATCCTAACTGGATACTTGGTTTCCAAGCTAGTCTACCAAAATTTATTTGACCCCATTTGGATCTAAACTCAATTAACAGTTACTGGGTTCTCAGTCTACAAAGCCTGACACACAGGTGGCAAGGTTGGGCTACCAGTGGTCGGCAAACTCATTAGTCAACAGAGCCAAATATCAATAGTACTTCTTCAAAACAGACTCGCCCAGGCCAAAAACCGACTTCTGCGCATGGGCCACGAAGCTGCAATCGTACTGTATGTGCGCCCGCACATGGTATTTTGTGGAAGAGCCACACTCAAGGGGCCAAAGAGCCCCATGTGGCTCTCGAGCCACAGTTTGCCAACCACGGGGCTAGGCAGTCTGTTGGCTGTCACTCCAGAACACAGAACTACCACATGCGAGTGGAGCTCTGAAGACCAAGAAGCAGCATTCTTTCATTGTAAATTCTAAAATTCAGGATTGCCTATACTTTCAGTAATGAAACACCCCTTAAGTTATCAATCGTGGTTGCCTCTCTTGGGGAGAGAAAACTCCCAATTCCTTCAATTAGCAGTTATAATGACTACAATCCATAGTTACTTGAAAGTAATTGAGAGAAATATCTTGAGAGAATGTTTGCATTGATTAGGTAACAGAAATATGGTACTTATCTACAATTGAGCACTATATTAGCTTGATAAGGCCTTAGTATGGTATATAGCAAATGCCAAAAGTACAGGAATAAAACTAAAAAGTGTTTCAGAGTTTCTCTGCACAACCTGACAATATTGTATGTGTGTACCTTGTTGATCCTATAATGTCACCACTTGGAATATATCCTACTACAGTGGGGCCTTGACTTACGAGTGTCCCGACTAACAAGTTTTTTGAGATACCAGGTGTCTCTCAGCTGATTTTTTGCTTAGAGTTGACAGAGTAATTTGAGTTAATGAGCTCCTTAACGAGCTCGGTCTCAGAACGAATTAAACTCGTAAGTCAAGGCCCCACTCTAATTAAATACTCCATCAAGCAATGATGTTCTTTTTACAACTTAAACACTAATTAAGACTGGTTAAACACATTATAGTACATCCGTTAAAAAAAATGCCATGTACCCATTAAAAAGAGAGGGCCACAGTATTTTTCTCTCTATATATACAGTAATATTCAATTGGTAAAAAATATGTAGTTGAGTATGCATATACATATTTAAATATCTATTTTTAACATATACACCCATTTTCTTTATATGTACGGAAGGATTTACATCTTAGCAATAGTTACCTTAGTTTGCTCAGAGAATATACAGGTGGTTTTTGCAATCAGAACAAAATTAATTTTAAAAATGATTAAAATAAAATAAAGCTGTCTTTGTGTTGGCCAAGCTATCTAACTTAAGCCAAGAGAATGACAGATGATTGTTTGGATGGTTGCCCTATAAAAGGAGATGATTAAGAACATAACTGCTAGTAACCCAAACTGAGGGGCATTCTACAAAACAATTCAACTAACAGTGTCATGAAAGACAGAGACTGAGCACTTGCTTCAGATTAGAAGCGACTAAAGAGTAATGAATGACAACTGAATGCGCCAATGATTTGTAATTTTCCTTTCTTATAAATACATTATTAGGACACTGATGAAAACTTAGTATAGGCTGATTAGCTAATAGTATTGCTGCAATGTTAACTTCCTAATTAAGAATGTCTTTTAATAAGGGAATGCCCTTAATTTAGGAAAAAAATACTTAAGTATTTAAGGGTAAATTGCAGCTTACTAACAAACTGTTCAGGAAAAAAAATTGTGTGGGTCTGTGTCTGTGGGGGGGTGGGGAAGGGAAGAGGAAAATTAAGATAAGGTAAATGTTAGAATTTGGTTAGAAAAGGTAAAATGTTAAGAATTTGAGGAATTTAAGAGAAGAGTATAAAAGGAAATCTTTTACTATTCTTGTAACTTTTCTGAAAGACTGCAATTATGTCAAAATAGAAAATTAAAAATAAAAAAGAACATAATTGCTGAGCAAGAAGCTTGAATTAAACTCCTCTCCATGTTAAAAGAAATAAAGGAAAAATAAACTGGATTATTTTATTATTCTCACCCAAATAAAAGAGTTGATTAGTATGGGAACGAATCATCTTGAGACCGGATTCAGGGGTAGCAACCAACCCAACTTTAGAGGCTCTGTGATAATTTCATAATTTACAGAACAATTTATCCTAAGATAGATGCTATTAAAGGTACTAAAAGTACAAGTGGACTTAATGAGCAAAGTGCAGGTATTCTGTGGGTCCATAAAACACATGGTCTTGAATTTGATACTGGAAGTATAATAAAGCTAATGTTTCACTATGCCATTATGAGAAAGCATGAAAGAATAGAATTGAACAGATTTTAGTCAGAGATACCAATCTTAAAACAAAAGGAAAGGCAAACACTTTCTACTGAGATTTTCTCCCCATTTAAAAAAAATGTTTCAAAAAATTTTTAAAAAAGAATAGAATATTTAAAGTAAAATTTTCAAAATAAATGTCAGATACTTAATAAAAAAAAATGTCTTATGTGGTAAACACTTAGTTGAAAAGCTTGGCCGTCTATACGACGTCATTTCCTGAAGATTCTGCATTTCAAGTTGTTTTCTTAACGTTTGGAATATGTAGTTTTACTCTTTCGCGGGAAAAGTTATAATTTTTCCATTAACTCTGCAATTTTAAAAGATTTGCTGCACAAAGGCAGTTTTATTATTTTTAATATTTTTCCAACAGAAAGCAATTCTGACAGTATAATGGAAGCCAATGAGGAAAATATGATTCACAAATCTGCTGAAGCACTCTTGTTCTATTAAGGGCACCTGTATATGTACGACTCGTGCTCAAAGAATCAGAATAGCTTTGAGGAGAATAAAGTAACCAGCATAAAAACACAGTTAGTACCTGTATACCCTGCCTGTACTTTTTATTCCCTTTTGAACTTGAATAGGTATCTGTGTTGTTGGGGGGGTTCATGAGTGGAGAAGCTCCAAAGAGATGCTCAAGTGATCTTATGACAGAGGGAGCAAAACAACAGAAGAAGGATTGAAAATGCTCTCAGGGGCCTATAATGATTTTTTTTTTCAGGCTAGTTTGAATTTTGTGTGTAGTGATTTTAATATGGGTATACCAAACCAATTCTACAGGGGCAGAGTAATAGCATATGGCACACCGTGGAAGTCTAAACTATTGTAATGAGAAAAATAATGGGATATGACAGTGTAATTGAGTAGGTTGGGTCTGTGAGTTACTACTTCTCTGGATCTCAATGTTCTTAACTCTAAAGAGAAAAGTACAAAACGCCATGTACCCATTAAAAAAAAAAAAAAAAGAGGGCCACAGAAACAGCATGGAGCTCACCTTTAACAAGCAAGCACAGTCAGCAGCAACAGCAAAGCGTGCTATTGTTAAGTAAAAAGATTACATTCATTTACCCAACAAGCCATCTACTGAGTAACTATTATGAGCCAGGCACAGACTATGTATGCTAGGGAAACAGGAGAGAGAGATCTTGTCCCTGCCTTCCAGGCGTTTACACTCTAGCTGAGCAGACGGCGTTTAATACCCCAAGTACAACGCCAAAGGCATACACGAAGGGTTAAGGGGGACCCCGAGGAGGTATATTGAAGCAATGCCTGGGTGGGAGCTGGGGCGGGAAAGGCGTTTGAACAAGGTAAGCCAGCGCTGTCTGAAGGGTGAAGTAGTTAACTGGGCACTGATTTGAGCAGAGGGAACCCCCTAAGCCGAGAAACGAAGTCTAGACACAGCACGGAATGCCAACCACCAATCAGAAACATCATCATAGGTCACTTGTCAAGGTCCGGGACATCAGTTCTGCCCAGCGAGCGGCTGTATTACCATCCTAGGGTCTTTCCACTGCTCTCCGTTGTATCCCAGATCCTGCAACCCTTTCCTAGAAGGTCAGGGCATACTTGCCATAAGGCAGAGTTGCTGGCAAGTGCCTCCTTTTTCTTTTTTAAAAATCAAAGTGCATAATGACCAGGGCACAGCCAGACTAAAGGCCACGGGTAGTGGCGGTGGTAGTGGGTCTTGAAATGAGGTGCAAAGAAGCCCCAAACTGCCCAATTCCAGGTAAGGACGGGAGGTCATCCCGAGAACACTCCGGGTGCGAAGACCGTAGGGGGGTCCGGTGTTGGGGGGGGAGTCCCTCCGCGCCACCCCCGGCTCTGAGGAGGGGGCACTCAGAGGGAGACCACAAGGGTGAACAGCACAGGGGACCGGGAGGGCGCGGGTAGAGGCAGCCGACGCAGAGGAGGCGCTTTCCAACGAGGTCCAACCTCCGCGACGGCCGGGGGTCCCGGCTTCGGGAACACCCCGTGCAGCAGGGGCCCCGGAGCTCGCGGCGCCCACTCACCGCTGCTGGTGAAGTAGAACACCATGGTCGCGGCGGCGCGGCGACTCCAGCGTGGAGCAGCACCACCCAGTTCTCGAAGCTCCGGATACCAGACGCCGAGGCCGCCGGTTCCCTGGAGCCTCTGCGCGCACTTCCGGCGGACGCTGGTTCGCGTCATAACGCAGGCTCGGGGCGCCATTTTTGATCCTGGCGTGGAAGAGGGCATTGGGCGGGGCTGGGGTGCTTCCAAGCCCAGAGGATGGTGCCAGGGCAACTGGTGGTTGGGAGATATAGCGGGAAACGGCATCTTTTATTTTTCTTCGTCTTCTTCTTCTTTTAAATTGCATGTATTGGGGCAACGCTGGTTAATAAAATTATATGGGTTTCAGGTGTATAATTGTATAATATACATCATCTGTATATTGTACTGTGTGCGCACCATCCCAAGTCAAGTCTCCATCACTGTTTATCCCCCTGTATTCTCTTTTACCGACCCCCAACCTTCTTGAAATGCCACCATCTTAAAAGAAAAATGTCATTAGCTGACTTTATTTTTAGAGCCTTCACCCAGTGGTCGGTTAAGTCCTGAGGCTTATCAATTGGTTTTATCTGCTTCCCCACCCCTACCCCCCGACCCCACGTGGGCTCCAAGAGGAGCAGAAACTGTTTGCCTTCTTCACAGCTGGGCGTTCACTCCACCAATCGCGGAACTTGACACTTCCTTAGTTCATTATGTTTTGAATGAACCCAAATTCCTCCACTATTGTCATTCTAGCTCCACCACTTGTAAGGCACACCTTTGGATATTTCTGTGCTTCACTTATTTCAGCTGCAAAATGTAGATGATATAGATAGTGGAGCAGCTAATTCAAAGATTATTTTGCTAGGGTTAAATACAGTTCATGGGAGGAAAGGGTTAGAATATATCACTCAAGTGAGTTGTTAATATTCTCCATAGGCAATATGCCTCTTGGATTGGGACTATGACTGTTCTGCCTTTAAGATCCACCAACTTCCCAAGTCGGTTTGGCTCGGTGGATAAGAGTATTGACCTGCAGACTGAAGGGTCCCGGGTTCGATTACCAGTGAAGGCACATGCCAAGGTTGCCAACTTGATGTGCAGGAGGCTGCCAATCAATGATTCTCTCTCATCAATGATGTTTACCTCTCTCTCACCCTTCCACTCTGAAATCAATAAAAATGTACATATTTTAAAAATTGACCAACTGTTACCTGTGAGATGGGGCAAATTCCAAACCTATGAACCTCAGATCGCTTCCTGCTATAAATTGGTAATGATTTTACTCCGGTAAAGCTATTACTCTTATATCGGTCTTAAGTTAAATTTATTTAGAACTAAAAATGTCCCAGAGACAGTACCAGGAGCTGGTAACACAAAGATTAAAGTAATAGCTAACAACCAATGACTGTGTTAGGAACATTCGAGCTCCCCAAAGCAAGAACCTAGTTATATCCTATAAATAGTAATTGTTTTCAGGTCGTCTGTAAAATGGGAATGATAATACATATCTCATAGATTGTGATGAGGAGTAAAAATAAAACACGTAAAGCCTGCAAGAATGTCTGGCACATACCAGATGTTAGTGCCATGATTTAATTTTTTAAATTTATCTTGAAAAGGTAAAAAAAAAATGCTAGAAACCTAACGTATTACTAATAAAAAAAAGTTTAACGCTAAGGCTTCAAATTTGAAATATAAGTGCCTCGAGAATATCGAAAAGGCTACTTCACAAAAACAACACCAAGGATGTTGAAAAGGGCGCCTGTATTTTACGGAAAAACTACAATTCCCAGAATGCACCTAAACAAGTCCTGAGGCGCAGGACCCGGCGTGGCCGCAAGGGATTGTGGGTGGTTTTCGGGGAGAAGAGAGCCTTTTGCCTCCCAAGGGCGGGAGAATCTTGGAGACCGCCTTTAAGTGGGTGGGGCAATAACTAGAGCACGACCAATCACCGAGTCAGCTTCTGGAAACTCCGAGAAGCGGCGAATCAGAATGCAGCAGCTTCAGCCTTGCCTGGCGCGGGACAATTTGAATACAGTGGCGGAGCATCTGGCTCGGCTGAGGAGAGGTCTGCAGCTCTGAGGTGCAGGTAATTGCCGCGGAGGGCTGCGGCTGGGGTGGAACGCGGAGGACTGGAGGTTCTATAGAACGTGGTGGGGCTGAATGTCAAGGAATCAAAGAACTTTTCCTCTGTGCTGGGCGCGTCGCGGCTCGAGACCGAAGCCACCAACCGGTTCGCCACACTTCCAGGTCACCGGGTTTCCGCCTTCCCCTATGCCGGAGTTTTCTTGCCTTTTTGCCCGAAAGGCATTCTTTTCCTCATTCAGTCTTACAGGGGTCTTCCCTTAAGCCGCAGCTAGACATTAGTTCCCAGAGGCCCTGGTCTTTCTGTTTAACTTTGAAATCACGCTTGTGTCATTTTTAAAAATATACCTGCTCCGAAGGAAGGGCAAGAGGAAACTTTCGCTGAGCAACATGCCATCTGCTCGAGAGTTAAGTTGCATGATTGTTTATTTTCAGCCGCCTTAGAAGGTCAGGGTGTTTTATAAAAGGAAACTGGCGGCCCTCGCCGGCTCGCTCGCTGTTGAGAGCGTCGGCCTGCGTGCTGCAGGGGCTCAGGTCTCGGGTTCTGTTCCCGTCAAGGGCATGCATGTTGGTTGCTGGCTAGTCCCCTCCCGGTGGGGGCGTGTTGGGGAGGCAACAGGCGATGTGTCTCTCTCGCATGGATGTTTCTGTCTCCCCACCTCCCTTTCATTTTCTAAAAAAAAAAAAATATCCTCGGGTGGGGATTGACAACAACAAATGGTGACAAGAATAAAATGAAAAGTGAACAAGTGGCTTGGTCAGGGATCCTCGGCTGGTAAAATAGGAGAGGATTATGCTTTCCCCGTTTTCTTGCTGGACTCTGATGCAAATGGGAAACGAGTCATTGGGTATACAAGCTATTGGGAAACAGTTATATCAACAAGAAGACGTGTTAGATGGAATGTAAAGGAAGCATCGATGCGATGGAAGCATAGGGCAGCATCTAGCAGTGGCAGGGGCGGGGTGAGGGTCCAGATGAAAAGTGTTTACACTCGGTGTGAATTCATCAGGCTAATTAAAAGAGAAAGTGTGCCCTGAAATGGGGTAAAAAATACTTCCTTCCTGGTAGGGTCATTTCCCTGCTTGTATTTCCTGTTCGAATCGCTACTGTGATGTAGTGTTTTTCCTTTTCTTTTTCGTATATTTTAAATCTTTATTAAAGTGATTTGCTTTAAAAATAATCCTATTCTTGGATCTCTGAACCATTACGCATCTGAAAGTTTTTTCAGACTTCTAAGATATAATTTCGGTATACTGGTTTTTATGCACATCGGATGAGTTTGGTAAATATAATTGTCTTGTTGCTTTTAGGGGTTCAGGTAAGAAGATGTCAGCTTTTACTCCAAGGAAAAGGAAGCAGAATTCTTTGAACTGTGACAGGTGAGTCTCATCCTATGGGTAGAAATTCAGAAAAGAAGAATTCACCTTTGGGCTTTCTTACCTTCTCTTAAAATTTCTATCCTTTCACTGGCCTACTTCTTGTGGCTATAGTAATATTTTATATTCTAATTCTAGTCTGGAAATACTGTAAGCTTTTATAATTAACTAGAGGTCCGGTGCACAAAATTCAGCACTCGAGGAGTCCCTCAGCCTGGCCTGTGCCCTCTTGCAGTCAGGAGCCCTCAGGGGATGTCCAACTACCGGCTTAGGCCTGCTCTCTGCAGGGAGCGGGCCTACGCCAGCAGTCGGACATCCTTAGCATTGCCACAGAGGTGGGAGTCTCCCACCACTGCCACTGCGCTTGCAGCTCTCAGCCCTGCTTATGGCTGAGTGGAGCTTCCCCTGTGGGAGCACATTGACCACCAGGGGGCAGCTCCTGCATTTAGCATCTGCCCCCTGGTGGTCAGTGTGTCATAGCGACCGGTCATTACTGGTGGTTCTGGTGCTGGTTTAATTTG